GCGAACATTGCGCAATTCTTAAACACCCAGGAGGCTGCGAGGTCGCGGGTACTCCACTACTCCGCCGCGCCCCCCAGGAGCCCACGAACGTGGCGACAACTGCGCAATTCGCAAGCACCCAAGGAGCTGCGAGGTCTCGGGTGGATCCGCGTGGCCCCCGACTCTTCGGGACCTCCCAGGAGCCAACGAAGGCAGCAACAATTACGCAATTCGCAACCACCCAAGGAGCTGCGAGGTCTCGGGTACTCCGCTACTCTGCCGTGTCCCCTAGGATGCCACACAAGTGGCGACAATTGCGCAATTGACAAACACCCAAATGAGCTGCAAGGTCTTTAGTACTCCGTCACTCCGCCGTGCCTCCCAGGAGCCCACGAACGTGGCGACAACTGCGCAGTCCGCAAGTACCAAAGGACCTGCGAGGTTCTCGGGTGGATCCGCGTGGCCCCCGACTCCGCTGGACCTCCCAGGAACCCATGACAGTTGCGACAATAACAAAAATCGCAACCACCCAAGGAACTGCGAGGTCTCGGGAACTCCGCCACTCTGCCGTGCCCCCTAGGATACCACACACGTGGCGACAATTGCGCAATTGACAAACACCCAAATGAGCTGCAAGGTCTCTAGTACTCAGTCACTCCGCCGTGCCTCCCAGGAGCCCACGAACGCGGCGACAACTGCGCAGTCTGCAAGCACCCGAAGACCTGCGAGGTTCTCGGGTGGATCCGCGTGGCCCCCGACCCTGCTGGACCTTCCAGGAGCCATCGAAGGTTGCAACAATTACGCAGTTCGCAACCACCATGGGCCATGGGAGCTGCGAGGTCTGAGGGGGGGGCGTCACTCCGCCGTGTCTAGAACCCGCGAAATTGACGACAATTGTGCAATTCTTAAACACCAAGAGGCTGCGAGGTTTCGGATACTCCACTACTCCGCCGCGCCCCCAAGGAGCCCACGAACGTGGCAACAATTGCGCAGTTCGCAACCACCCAAGGAGCTACGACGTTTCGTGTGCTCCGCTACTCCGACGTGCACCCCAGAATCGCGTGCAACTGGCGACAATTGCGCACTTCGCACCCACCGTCCAAAGAACTGCGAGGTCTCGACTGACCCCACGTACTCCGCTACCTCCTCCTCCTCCTCCTCCTCCTCTTCCTCCTCCTCCTCCTCCTCCTCCTCCTCCTCCTCCTCCTCCTCCTCCCCCTCCTCCTCCTTCCTCCTCCTCCTCTCTCTCCTCCTCCTCCTCCTCCTCCTCCCTCCTCCTCCTCCCCTCCTCCCTCCTCCTCCTCCTCTCCTCCTCCTCCTCCTCCTCCTCCTCCTCCTCCTCCTCCTCCTCCGCCTCCGCCTCCGCCTCCGCCTCCGCCTCCGCCTCCGCCTCCTCCTCCTCCTCTCTCTCCTCCTCCTCCTCCTCCTCCTCCTCCTCCTCCTCCTCCAGGAGCCCACGAAGGTGGCGACAGTTGCACAATCCGCAACCAGCCAGGGAGCAGCGCATGAGGAGAAGGAGAGAGCATGGGACGAAGGAGGTGTGCGACGGCAGCGCTCTAGTTATTCAGAACGATACCCAACGCAGGAACGTCGGGGGAAAAATGTCTGCGCGCACGATCTTTCCAATTCTTAAGACAACAACATGTTTTCAACATGTTCATCAACTGGGACAAAACGGGCCTCTCGCGTGCGCATGTCGAGATCATTCGAAGGCCCGTGCGCGCGCTGGCGGCGGGGTGGGCACGACTCCTGTCAAATAGTACCATGCGGGCCACTCGCGCCCATCGACCGCGCGCGCATGTCGAAATCCTTCCCAAACCTTCGCCACTGGACACCATCATCGCCACCAGCGTGATCAGCATCAGCGCCGTCATTGGTTTGCCGTCGTGATCGTTACCGTCGCCACCAACATCGCTACTATCATCATCGTGTGTGTCGTTGTCAGTGTCGCCATGGTGCCGCCCGCCGCAGTGAAGTGCCCGCGCGCCAACGCGGCCTACAAGACGCGCTGGGGAGTCCCGGGCGGTCACCGGTCAGCGCCACCGCGACCGCATCGGTCGCGCCAGACGAACTGGCTGCCCTTCGCGCGAGCTTGCACGCGCTAGCGCGGCCACAGCGATCGGGCAGCCAGCGCAAAGCAGTCATCGCAATCGCTGCTGCGTAGCATTTGCTAACCAACTTGCAGGCCAGTGGGTGGGATGACTGCGCGGGCAGTGGAGTTGACAAGTTCCAGTTTGACAAGGCGAATTGCACTTCGTATATTGCGCCACACTGAGTGCACCACATAAGTTGCACTGCGATTGCGCACCATAGGTCCATAGGTTGCAAGACACAAAGTCTCCTTTCTAAAATGAGAATGAACCCCACCACCCTTCGGAAACCGGACATAACAATACCCCTGGGGGATGTGCAGTTTACCTTTGATGTTGCCCCATCGTCCATCCTAAGTATGAGTTCGTGCCATCCCAGCGCCGAGCAGGTATCGTCACCCCCCCCCCCGCCATCCTCTGCAACAGACATTCTGCGCGCACACTTATTTATCAAACACCATCAATTTTCAAGAGTCCATTGGACAAATATTCAACGAAGTGCACACGCGCGTCCTCGCGCGCGCGCATGCCGAAATATATAGAACAACTGTGGGTTTCGTAGAGGTTTCAAACTCGAATGCCCGAAACAAATTAAAACATGTTTTCGCAACGCGGATGTTCAAAACAAACTTGCGCGCGTTGTTGCGACTTCTGAAGAGAACCGTTTGTTCTTAGATCCTTTTTTTTTTTTTCAAAAAATGCTGCCAAACGGGCTTCGCGCGCGCGTGTCGAAATCGTTCGAACGCACTTGCGCGCATGCCGTCGCGAGAATCCTGCGCATTAAAATCGGCACGAAGTGCACGCGCGCGCGCGTCGTCGCGCGCGCATGCGGGGGGGGGGGGGGGGGGAAAAAGAAAAGAAACAAAAAAAAAAAACGAGCGCTCGCGGTCTTGCGAATTCTTGTGGAACCATAATTTGTTGAACATGTCCCTAGAATTCTGTTAAAAGGCCTCTGGCGCCGCATGCCGAAATTATTGGCACGCCTCTGCGCGCGTGCTGGGGGGACGGGGGCACGATCCGTGTCAAAGCGGGCCATTCTCGCGCGTCGGCCGCGCGCGCATGTCGAACTATTTCCAAAACCTTCATCACCGACGCGGGGACGCCGTCATCGTCGTCGGCATGATCAGCATCGGCGCCCGCACTGCCCGCAGCGTCGTCGTTGCCAACATCGCCACCAACATCGCTACTAACATCATCGTGTCAACCGTTGCCGACGTTGCCATGCTACCGCGCCCGCCCAAATAGCCAACTCGCACTGACATGTCCGCTGGGATGTGCGTTGCGGTCAGCGCCACCGCGGCCGCGTCGGTCGCGCCAAACTAGCTGGCCGCTGCGCGCGCGTGCTTGGGTCGGCGCGGCCGCAAAGATGCACCAGCCAACGCCAAGCACTCATCGCAATCGCCGCCGCATGGGCGTTACAAACCAAATTGCGGGTGGGTGGGTGGGATGTTTGCAAGAGCCTGGGATGTGTCAACTCGTTTGTAGAAAGGTCGTTTCCGTCGTCGTTGTCGCCGTGGTCGTCCTTCCTCCTCCTCCCTCGTCGTCGTCGTCGTCCGTCGTCGGCGTCTCGTCGTCGTCCCTCTTATTTCGTCGCCGTCGTCGTCGTCGTCGTCATTGTCGTCGTCGTCTTCCCTCCTCCCTCGTCGTTGTCGTCGTCGGCGTCGCCGTCCTTCCTCCTTCTTCGTCGTTCGCGTCGTCGCCGTCCTCCCTCCTCCCTCGTCGTTGTCGTCGTTGTCGCCGTCGTCGTCCTTCCTCCTCCCTCGTCGTCGTCTTCGTTGGCGTCGTCGTCGTCGTCGTCGTCGTCGTCGGCGTCGTTGTCGTCGTCGAAGTCGTCGGAGACGTCGTCGGTGTCGTCGTAGTCGTTGTCGTCGGTGTCGTCGTAGTCGGTCTTAAGAGGTTTTGCAAACCAAGTTGCGGGTGGGTGGATGGGATGTTTGCAAGAGCGTGGGATGTGTCAAATCATGGGTGAAAATCAATTGCACCACGTAGATTGCTCCACACTGATTGCACACCATTATATTGCTAGAAGCACACCGCTTGGGGACCAGGCTGGCGAACGCCATCCTCATGCTATTTTCCCTCTGGTCCGCCTCTTCCCTCCGCCTCATAATTTCCCGCTTTCTCGCCCCATCTCCTACCCTCTGTCCCTCCCTCCTCGCAGTGTCCTGCCCATTGTTACCTCATCTGCACCTCCTCTTTCTGTTATCATACCTGTCCTATGTCAGCCTCCTCCGTGTACTTGTCCTACCTGTCCCATGTCAGCCTCCTCCGTGTCCCTTTCCCCTTTTCCGCACCCTCCCCATGCACCTCAGCCTCCTATTTCGCCTGATGGTAATCGTCTTGCGCTTCCTCATGCATGTCACTCTTCGCGGCACCATCTCTCCCGTCTCATTCCTCTGTCTTCTGTTGCACATGCGAACTCGACGTGCACACGCTGTTCACTCGCTCTGGTTGCAACCACCCTCCACCCACCACGAGCATACGTCGCCGAAGCAGCGAAGGAGTTGCGGGGAGAGTATGTCACGAGGCAGGCGATAATTAAGTGAGAGGCGAGGGCAGGGAGGGTGGAGACACGGATGAAGAGATGAAGGAAGAGGCGATAGAAGGCAGTCACGGGCAAGAGCTGGGATCGGGGTGGGAGGAGTGGAGGCGCCCGACGGCCCAGAGACTCCCAAACTTCAACAGGCCCCAGGAGGAGGAGGGGGAGGGGGGGGGCGGGGGAGGGGGAGGAGGAGGAGGAGGAGGAGGAGGAGGAGGAGGAGGAGGAGGAGGAGGAGGAGGAGGAGGAGGAGGAGGAGGAGGAGGGGGAGGAGGAGGAGAGGAGGAGGAGGGGGAGAGGGGAGGGGGAGGGGGAGGCGAACCCCCACCCTGGAGCGGTGCGAGCCCCTGGGCTCTGCCCCCCCGCTCGCTGGGGCCCGCCGAGCTCGCGGCCTAGGGCCATGGGCCGCCCGCCGAGCACCTGCTGCCAGAAGGCGTGCAGGTGCGCGCGCTTGGACGCGGGGCCGAAAGCCGCCGGCCCCGCGGAGCGCCCGCCGGGGCGCTCCGGGCTGCGGGCGTGCGTCCGGGAGGTGCGCCTCACACCTGACCTTCCAGAGAGCTATTTTTTAGCACTGGAGACCTAAAAACCTAAAAAACTTGGCGAAACAGCCTAAAACCAAGACGTAGAATAGCTCTGGGATAGGTTTTTAAGTCGGGTGCCATTTTTTAGCCCTCCTGGAAGGTCAAGGACCGACACCTTTTGGAGCCGGAGCCGGCGAAGGCGAGAGGTCCCGCCCCGACAGGCCAGATTGAGCGAAGACGAGGAGGCCCGCCCCGACGGGCCAGAGTGGCCCGAGGCCTCCCAACATGGGGCGCAAAAAGTGCCGGCGCAGCACATCCCGCCCGCATGGGAACAGAACGGGCCCGTGGCAAGCACAGCGTGGTAACGATGGCTGGATGCGCGGAGGGAAGAGAACGTGAGGACGAGAAGAGCCGCAAGTCTAACCGCGTACAGCAGTCCAGGGGTGGTGAGCTAGGGCTGACCCGAACATCGTTTGCAAACGAATGTTCCCGAACCGCTTGAGAACCGTTCGTTTTGAACATCCCTGTTTTCCCTCAACTGAACGGCCGCGGCCGAGGCGCTTGGAGGCCTCGGAGTTCGCGAACAAATGGTCCAGAACCATTGATGAACAGTTTGCGAACACCCGAACCCGAAACACGACTCTCGCCCTTCCAAACACATTACGTAAGTGGCCGGAAGGGGAGGAGGGGGCGGCGGATGGAGGGAGAGGGAGGAGAGGAGGGAGGAGGGAAAGGAAGGAGAGAGAGTGAGGGGAGGAGGAGGAGGAGGAGGACGCGGTGGAGGAGGACGCGGTGGAGGAGGAGGGGAAGAGGAGGAGGAGGAAGAGGAGGAGGTGGTGGTGAGCCGCCCTCTAAAAGCATCAATGCGATTTGCACCCCCCGCCTCCCGCGGACCCAGGACCAACAGCCTCCGCGGCCCCAGTACATGTATCAGCCCAGCACCTCCAGCGGCCCCAGCACCACCAGCGCCCGTGGCCCCCCAAAAACCAGTAACGAACGATGGGGGGGAATGAGAAGGGGAAGGCCTTCTCAGAAGGCCGCCGGGCTTGTCAGAAACCCAGCGCCTTCTGAGAGGTTCTTCTGAGTCTTCTGGGATGGCTTAGAAAGCTGTTCAAAAGGCCCAGGGACTTCCGAACCTTCTGAGAACGCCTTCTCCTTCTCACTTCCCTCCCTCGCGCGCCGCCGAATAAATATCCATTGGACCACACGTATGGATACCAAGCCCACCAACTCCCGCGGCCCCAGCACTAACTGAGTGGGCGGGCATCCGACGGGGCGTCCTCCTGCAGGGGGCGGGAGCACAAGCGCGAGAAGGCACAAGAAACTGTCGACAACAGGCTGGCCTTGTCGCTCACATTTTTCCACCAGGGGCCCCGCACTTGAGGTTGAGATTGGAAGGGCAGCGGGGTCGTGGGGGGTCCAGCGCGGATCCGAGAAATCAGCGCGGACCTCCGAATTTGTCGGAGGTGAGGGGGTGAGATCGAAGTGGAACGGAGAGCCCCCCTACCGGGAAATCGGTTTCGGTTTCGTGTTCGTGCGTGCCGTGCGTGCGGGCGAGGCGAAACTGCGTGGGCGTGCGAGAAGAGAGTCTCCGCCGGCTGAGGGGCGGCCGGACAAAATGATTCCTGACTGGGGGCCGGTGGGGCGCGGTGTCCTGCCGGTGTCCCGCCTCCGGCTGAGGCGCGGCCGGACCAAATGATTCCTGACCGGGGGCCGGAGGGGCGCGGTGTCCTGCCGGTGTCCCGCCTCCGGCTGAGGCGCGGCCGCACCAAATAATTTTTGACCGGGGGCCGGGGCCGGTGGCGCGCGGTGTCCCGCCAGTGTCCTGCCGGTGTCCCGTCGGTGTCCCGATGATGATGATGATGATGATGATGATGATGATGATGATGATGATAATGATGATGATGATGATGATGATGATGATGATGATGATGATGATGATGAGAATGATGATAATGATGATGATGATGATGATGATGCTGCTGCTGCTGCTGCTGATGATGATGATGTCGATGATGTTGACGATGATGATGATCATGATGATGATGATGATGGTGATGGTGATGGTGGTGATGATGATAGTGTCCCGATGATGATGAGGATGATGTTGACGATGCTGGTGATGATGATGGTGGTGATGATGATGGTTTTCTGGTGATGATGATGATGATGCTGCTGATGATGATGGTGTCCCGATGATGATGTTGATGATCCTGATGATGCTGATGTGATGATGATATGAAGATGAGATGATGATGAATATGATGATGATGATGCTGGTGTCCCGATGGTGATCACGAGGTTGATAATAATGCTGTTGTTGATGATGATGGTGATGATGATGGTGTCCCGATGGTGATGATGATGATGTTGATGATGCTGACGATGATGGTGTCCCGATGATGATGATGATGTTGATGATGGGAATGATGGCGTGAGGATGATGATGTTAATGATGGTGGCCCGATGATGGTGATGATGATGATGATGATGCTGATGTCGATGATGATGATGTCCTGATGATGATGGTGATGATGATGATGCTGACGATGATGACGGTGTCCCGATGATGATGTTGATGATGATGATGTTGCTGATGATGATGGTGTCCCGTTGGTGATGATGATGTTGATGATGCTGTTCATGATGATGATGGGATGATGATGATGGTGGTGGTGTTCCGATGATGATGATGGTGTCCCGACGATGATGATGTTGATGACGATGATGGTGACGATGATTGTGCCCCGATGATGATGGTGATGATGATGATGCTGATGATGATGAAGTGATGCTGATGATGGTGTCCCGATGGTGGGTGATGATAATGTTGGTGACGTTGGTGTTGGTGATGATGATGACGTTGATTGTGAGATCGATTGTGATATCGATCGTGAGATCGATAGTGAGACCAAATGTGCAATCGATTGTGAGATCGAATGAAATAGATCGAGTGATATCGATTGTGAGATCGATCGAATGAGATCGATCGAGCGAGACCGATAGGGAGATCGATCGTGAGATCGATAGTGAGAACCGATCGAATGAGACGTTGGTACCTCCCCCCCGAACCTCCTTATTACCCGAAGGGTGGTCCTTATAGGTACGCTTATGTCGTTCTTCGTTCCCTTTATTGAATACTTCAGGAGGCGGAGCAGAACAAGGGTGGGACACCTCAATATCTCCCGACCACCCCCGACGTGGCACGTGCGGCGTCACGGGAAAGCACACCCACCTCCCCATTTTCGGGTTACGTCGGGCCTGTCCCTCTACAAGAGGAGTATTCAAAAATCATCATACAATAATCCGGGGACGATTTTTGTTAGCATTTGTTTCACCATTTCCGAATATGTGTCGAATATGTTTGATGCTTCTTCCAAAATCCGCCTGTAGGAGGACATGCCCGACCTAACCTTAGGAAGGAGAGGGGTAGAAAAGTCCTTTTGTACCAGACGGGGTGGGCACTGAAGGTGACCATGCGCCTTGCCAAGCCAGGCGCCAGAAGCCTGCCCGACACCGAACGGGTGCGCACCATACGCCCTCTGACCTCACGAGCCCGATCGAATTCTGCATCCTCTCCAAAAGCTGATCTATGTTGAGTGAGTCGTGTAACCGAGCGCCCCTGATAATCATTGCCCACCCCCCCTTGACACTTAACCCCTGAGAGTTTCGTATCCCCGGCCAGTACAGATTTGGTCGGGGAAGAGGGGCGGCAAAGTCGAACCTGGTTATCGCGGGGGCTAGTGTCCCGTTATTCCCGAAGGAACCCTGGACCCCGACCATTGTTATCCCAAGGGGAGTAATATCAGGGGCAAAGGATATTTCTTCTTTTTCTCAGAGACCGCCGCGCTCGCGAGAAGGCACCCGCCATGGTTAGGGTCCCCCAAGCCAGAACATTGCGAACAGTTTTTGATCCACGGGTCGAGAGCTCACCTCTTCCGGTCGAAGCTAAGCGGGCCGCGCGAAGCTTGAGTTAGGCAGAGATGGGGGAGGAAAAGGGGGGCGCAGCCTCAGAAGGAGGCCGGGAGGAGGCAAAACCTCGGAATCAGGCGGTGCCGAAGCCGACGTACTTGCAAAGGAGCGCCTTCTCCATGAACCCGGCAGAACATTGCGAACAAGGACTTTGAAAACACCACCTGGGAAGAGCGGATAACGGAGGCTGCTTCGATCTGCGGCTGCTGCTCTTCCTCGGGCGCGCCACAGTGCTGCGGCGGCACCCGTGGATTTCCCTACAAGGTCAACGCCAGCAACAAAACAACAACGAAGTAGCATCGGGCCGCAGCTAGGTGGCCGAGGGAGCCGGGAGCGGGGGGGGAGGAAGGACGAGGAGGGGCGCGGAAAGCGAAGAAAAAGATACTTAACAATCAAACCAGCGGACGTAAAAGTCAACACCTGGTCGCAACATTGCTGGGTGGACGCCGGCGTGTCGCACGCTGCAGGGAGGAGGCCTGCGTGACACACACAATTCAAGAGCAGAGGAGGAGGAGGAGGAGGAGGAGGAAAAACGGTAGGACAGAAACGCCCGAGCAAGTTCTGTAACGAGGCTCGCGCGTGCGTAGACCGACATTGGTAGGCGGTGCGCGCACTGAAGCCCACGCGAGCAATTGCGACTGAGAAAAACGGAGGACGAGGGGACGCAGAAGAAAGTATCCCATATTTGCAGGGTGTGCGCAACAAAACCGGCCCAAGTCCTGCCATCAATCGTTTCCTCCTCTTCATCATCCATATTTGAAGTGTTGATCCCCCCAACGCTCCCCCCAAGGGCTTGCCGCCCTGCTCTTCTCAGTCAGCTCCACCCCCCCAGCTCCAGTGTTGTGGATGCCACGACAATGGACACCCTAACAGTCCTACCATTGACATCTGGAAATTATTTGAAAATTATTTGGCAGCATGCTGGAAATGATCCTGCTTAACACATGCTTTAGACATCTGGAAATTACTTGGCAACATGCTTCCTCTCCATGGATAGTTCTCCACAGCTCCAGTGGTCTCCTCGGGGCGAGTGGCCTGGCCTGCGCGTCAGGGGGGGCGGCCTCGAAGTAGGACGGCCGGCGGGCGGGGGGCAGCAGGACGAGGAGGACGCTGGCCATCGCTCGGACGTCCATTCCCCGAGCTTTTTTCGGTTCCGTGCGTGGTTGTTTCGCAGGATGATCCAGGATACTCCTCAATGATCCTCGCCGAAGGAACAATGCACACGTCCGAGCGATGCCAAGGACGCGGAGGAGGGTGATTCAGGGTGAGCACGAGGAGAATTACCCTGTGACGTACCCGACCCTTTCTGTACATGTGTCGATTCTACTCAGGACCACTGAATGCTGACTGACATTCTGAAGGACCCACAGTGTGCAAGAAGAACACCCAGCAGTGATTTCAGAAGAGTGCAGCAAGAAGAAGAACGGCAAATATACAAAATAGAATCACAGGGGCGTTGAAAGAAATGCGTATGACGTGCCTCCCAGTGATCCGCGTGGGACGTACCTCTGCTGGGCTTCCCAGAAACCCACGACAGTGGCGACACTTGCGCAGATCGCAAGCCCCCCAGGGAGCGGCGAGGTCCCGAGATGATCCGCGTGGGACCCACCTCCGCTGGGCCCCCCAGGAGCCCACGACAGTGGCGACAGTTGCGCAGATCGCAAGCCCCCCAGGGGGCGGCGAGGTCCCGAGGTGATCCGCGTGGGCCCCACCTCCGCTGGGCCTCCCAGGAGCCCACGAAAGTGGCGACAGTTGCGCAGATCGCAAGCCCCCCAAGGGGCGGCGAGGTCCCGAGGTGATCCGCGTGGGACCCACCTCCGCTGGGCCTCCCAGGAGCCCACGAAAGTGGCGACAGTTGCGCAGATCGCAAGCCCCCCAGGGGGCGGCGAGGTCCCGAGGTGATCCGCGTGGGACCCACCTCCGCTGGGCCTCCCAGGAGCCAACGACAGTGGCGACAGTTGCGCAGATCGCAAGCCCCCCAGGGGGCGGCGAGGGCCCGAGGTGATCCGCGTGGGACCCACCTCCGCTGGGCCCCCCCAGGAGCCCACGACAGTGGCGACAGTTGCGCAAATCGCAAGCCCCCCAAGGGGCGGCGAGGTCCCGAGGTGATCCGCGTGGGACCCACCTCCGCTGGGCCTCCCAGGAGCCCACGACAGTGGCGACAGTTGCGCAGATCGCAAGCCCCCCAAGGGAGCGGCGAGGTCCCGAGATGATCCGCGTGGGACCCACCTCCGCTGGGCCTCCCAGGAGCCCACGACAGTGTCGACAGTTGCGCAGATCGCAAGCCCCCCAGGGGGCGGCGAGGTCCCGAGGTGATCCGCGTGGGACGTACCTCTGCTGGGCCTCCCAGGAGCCAACGACAGTGGCGACAGTTGCGCAGATCGCAAGCCCCCCAGGGGGCGGCGAGGTCCCGAGGTGATCCGCGTGGGACCCACCTCCGCTGGGCCCCCCAGGAGCCCACGAAAGTGGCGACAGTTGCGCAGATCGCAGACGGCACGAGAGAAGAGGAGAAGGGAACACAGGAAACAGGAGAGAAGGAGGAGGGGATGAGAGGAGGGGAGGAGAAGGAAGGACGGGGCGACCACACCGCTCTATTCAAAACGAGTACCCAACACAGGAGGGTTGGGAACAAAGGAGGACACGCAGGAGGAGCAGCAGGAGGCAAGGCAGCAGGAACGGAGACGGCCAGATGAAGTGCCTTAGGGCGCAGAAGAAGGAAAAGGATGAGGATAAGGATGGTGATGTTGATGACGATGGTGATGGTGATGATGGTGATGGTGGTGATGGTGATGATGACTATGATGCTGATGATGATGACGATGATGATGGTGGTGGTGGTAGTGATCATGATGATGCTGTTGACGCGGAGGAGCAGGAAGAGGAGGAGGGACCCCAGGAGGAATAGTGCGGGAGAAAGCTGATCGGAAGGAACAGGAGGAGGAGGAGAGGGAAGAAGCGGGAGGGGAGCTGGCACCCCTGGGAAAGGGGGGGGATCCGCGGGAGTCCGGACCGAGCCCCGCCCGCCTGCTCGATCCCCCCTCTCCGCCGACCTCGCCCTGTTTGCCGGCTCGGTCCTCTTGACGGTCATGGGATCGGGCGACGCACACGGGAGGCTGCCTGCTGCCCCTTGGGGTTCAGACGCCCGGTGTCTCATCAGCGATCCGCACTCCGTGTCCCTAAACATCCGGCCCCCTCTCCCCACGGCGCTGACTCGTTGCTTGACGGCCCAAGGGTCCCAGCGAGAGCCGCAGGAGGCCGACGAAGACGGCCAAGCACCTCCGCCTTTGAGCCCCGTTTTCTCTACATGCCAACGCTGCTGTTTGAAAAAGGTGGCGGAGGGGGGGAACGGCACGCAAGCGAACTTGCCACAGCCGTGAAACATGTTAGCCAACGTGACTCGCCCTGCCGAACTTGAAGCAATCAACTCCACTGCTTGCGCAATCATCCCACACACCCACCCGCAACTAGGTTTGCAAAACCCATGCGGCGGCGATTGCGATGACAACTTGGTGCTGGCTGGCGCACCGCTGCGGCCGCGCTAGCGCGCTCAGGCTCGCGCGCACAGCGGCCAGCTGGTGTGGCGCGACCGACGCGGCCGGTGGCGCTGACCGCTTGGAACCTCCCAGCGCGTCTCGCAGGCCGCGCTGACGCACGGGAATTTCGGTGCGAGTCGGTGACTCAAGCGGGCGCGGTATCATGGCGTTGGCCTAACGGCAGACTGGATGATGATCCTGCGATGCTGGTGCCGACGATGGCGATGACGACGGCTGCGCCGATGCCGATCATGCCGAAAAGGATGATGGAATCCACGTGTCGGTGATGAAAGTTGTGCGCCTACTTCGACATGCGCGCGAGGCCGACGCGCACGACTGGTCGCATAGTATCGTTCGACAAGGATCGTGCCACGCCAACACGCGCGCAAGGGCGTTCGACTGATTTCGACACGCGCGCGAAAAAAACGCATATGGTCAAATATGGTGAGCATGTGAAACACCAGTGGCTTTGAACAAAAACGCAAGAGCGCGCGCAAACTGTTTTGAACAACCACGTTGCACAATCATTGTTGGTATGTGTTCGGGACACTCGATCTTGAATTCTGCACGAAACAGGCAATTGTTTATTGATTCCGGCTTGCGCGCGCGACGACGCGCGTTTGTAGACAGCGTGCAACTTGTTGCAGTGAGATTTCGCAGGTCTGTGGCAATTTATCAAGCCGATGTACGTAGTAACATGCAACAAACTTGACAGGGGGTTGTCGAGCCCGGCTCGGCTGGGATGATGTGAACTCATAGATATAATGCACGATGGGGAGGGCCTGTATGTAAATTGGCAATCCGCAGCGGGCGCCGATAAAACTGGGATGTGGGCGGTAGATCCTAATCCTTTTACCAGAAGCAAGAACCTACGTAGTGCAATTAATTTCTGTTCGCAGTGAATTGCCGACTCCACTGCTCGCGCAATCATCCCACCCACCGACCCGCAACTTGGCTTGCAGAAGCCCATGCAACGGCGATTGCGATGAGTGCTTGGCGTTGGCTGGTGCATCTTTGCGGCAGCGTTAGCCCGCGCATGCTCGCGCGCACAGCGGCCAGCTAGTTTGG